AAATTGGACACAGCATATGCCTTAGCAATTTTTTGACGTAGGACTACGTCTGTGATTTCTATATGGGGGTACACTTTGTGAAAACCAAAAATAGAACATGTAAAAAAATTTGAAAGATTTTGAACGTTAATAACTCAACTGCCCCTGGTGCAATTTCAATAATTTTTTCACCAATCGATCAGAAATATGGCTACTTCCGAATGTTGATTTTCAACCAGAAACTTTTGAAAAACTGGTAAATGTCCAGCATTGTCCAAAAGCGTCGAATTAACTAACAAATCCACCAATTACCTACATGCATATGCTGCTTCCCCAGCACAGTCGTCAGAGAGTAGTAAATAGCCGAAACAAGTCGAAGTGGCATTCGCCTCCGATCCTCGGGCGCGTGCGAATAAGGAGGATGCGATTGCGTAATATTTTGCACACTCATCGTCATACTCAGAACCACACGCTCCCAACGACAACACCACTGTGTGGTGGTGTTCCGTTGTCGAAATTAGTAGCAGCAGTAGCAGTGCTTTCGGCGTGTGGCGTTGAAAATTGTTTTCCAGTAACAACGAAAGACTGCCTGCAAGCAGCGAGCTGCAGAGCCCACATAAGCAACCATCAAAGGAGGAAGAAGCTGCACCGCTATTCTATGGATCGGAATCAGTAGCTCTTCGTGAGTCGCTGCGGGTCGGTCATCTATACCAAGCGTGTCACCCTCGCTCCAAACGACATACAGCTCGACAGCCTCATCCGTGTTGAACACCCAGCTCAGAATTACTCAACCATCACTACAAAACGGTCCTTTTCAGGGCCACCAAAAATTTGTTAAAGAGTATTATTTGGACATCAACCTGCTCTATAGAAGGTGTGGAATTGTAGGCCTAAATATATTGGTGCAATTAGTTTTTCCTCGGCTTTCATTCCGCACGATTCGTTTCTTTCGTTTAATCGGCGCTTACATATGAAATTTAATTTGGATTATAGAATTTTTTGTATGTTACCAAAATTTATGAATGGTTTGCCACTAAATGTTGAGATAATTGATTGATTATTGAATTATCACACTGTATACCATGAAAAAGCAGCCTGTTTGTGAGTTTTTGCCTGTTTTCAAGTAAGGAGTTATCATAAAAAACAAATCGCCAGCTGGTATTTCCCGGCGAATTTACAAATAAATACAATCAACCAAAATCATCATGCATAACTAGCTAGGATTTGTTTTACTTCATATTTCACAAAATTGCTTTCGACTGTTAAGACATCGTCTCCTGCAAAGTTTACATTCTTTCCTCTACCAACACATACACCAAGGTTAGATAGATCTCCACAGGTTCTATAGAATCCACGCAATTTCAAAAAACAAAAATGCACAGCATTACAAAAAGAGGTCAGGTTTCGACCAATAGCAGATAGATTTTAATTCTAAACAAGCCAAACGATTGGAAATTTATCTACCAATCTGCTAAAATGAACACTTAGTTAATTTTCAATAGGTCACTATTGACAAATACCAAATGTCCAACTGTTGCAATGGTGATCAAAATTATCACCGAATGTCTGAAAACAGCGCATTCCCTAACACAGATTTAAAAATCGAATTCGATGCGGTCCCACTGAACGGTGCTCATTCAATCACCGTAAGTGGTGGTGTCCAGTCCAGCAGCAGCAGTAGTAGCAGCAGCAGTAGCAGCAGGAGTCCTTTCAACAACAACAACAACAACAACAACAACAACAACAACAACAACAACAACAACAACGAAAAGCTGCCTGCAAGCATTACTCACACACCAAAAAATTCTGAATTTTACTGGTGATGTAAACTTCCATGCATGCAAATATTCATACATGTAAACTTCCTTTTCACGTAAACTAGCAGCTTGCAAGAAATGTTGCAAACAAAAGTGGACAGTTGCATACAATATATGGAATATTTCATGACATGTCTCATAAATTTACACGATCTATAATCTAAACTTGTATGATATATGTCGCTCCATTTATGTGCATCATAGTAACGGAAATTTACACTAATTTTATTAGCTGTGCAACCATCACTACAAAATGGTCCTTTTCAGGACCACCATAAATTTGTTAAGTATTATTTGTATTATTTGGCCATTTGTCAAGGTCATCAGTTCCCGCAAGCAGCTAGCTATCAAGGCTCAACCTGGTCTCTATATAAGGTGTGGAATTGTAGGCCCGAATGTATTGGTGAGATTAATCATCGTCCGACCATTTTCCAGAACACGCTGGTAAGAAGTGTTAAAAATCCATATAGAATTTGAGGGAAGTGGGAATAATTCGCTTTAGGTGTATATTCTGTCCTCAGAAAGCCAAAAAAAAAAAATCAAAATTTGTGAGAAAATTAGCTCTCAAGAGTTCAATCTCTCGAAGTCCCTCCTTTTTTTTTACATATTCTGCACAAACGATACTTCCGCCACGCCCCATTCATATAATTCGGAAGGAAATCCTGTGAGGTGAATTGAATACACTTTAATACCAAAATGCACAAAACATAAAAATTCATAAATAACAAAAAATCAAAATACACCTTTTAAAGTCGGGTAGATGAATCGAAAATACTCAAGTCCTTTGGATTTTCTTCATCAACTTTCTCTTTTTTTTTGTTTTTTTTTTTTTTTTTTTTTTTTTTTTTTTTTTTTTTTTTTTTTTTTTTTTTTTTTTTTTTTTTGGGTATCAAGCTGGAGCTGCGTGACAGCTTAATTTTCAAGACTTGACCCATTTGAATAAATTTTGCTTCTATCTTTGACAATACAGCAGAAGGACTAGCCTATGTTGGCCGCTTGAACACTGGTTTCCGTTTGTATTGTTTCAAGATAGTTATAGAAAAAATGCTGATACATCCGCGTAGTAAGCCGATTGAATAAGTAAATCCGTTTCGAACGAAATATCTAAATTATGTAAGTTACGAAAACCGCGCGAATTCCGAAAGCCGTGCGAGACAACCGAAGCCTGTGATAGCCTATGTCGGCAAGTTGATTAATTTTGGTTTCCTCCCATTCTACATTCTACTTATTTTACTGTTGAGCTTTGTTTCAATTTAGTTATTTTACCGCACGTATCAATAATTTCAAGATTTCGCGACCGTACCGAACAAATTCTATACTACAGAAGCTCAAAAAAACTTTTGGTGAGCTCTACCGCATTGCGAATCACTTCTGCGTAAGCTCCGTAGACGTAGGCGCGTTGATTCCGACAGCCGCGAAAAGTTAAACATGCATCAATACCACATAAGGAAATATCGATTTTACGTGTGGTTTAGTTCATAGATTAACATTGACTGCTGTTTAAAAATCTAAGTACTTGAACACTAAGAAATAAGTTAACTCAAATGCTTTAACCGCATATATAAGAGATTTCGCGTATTGAGAGAATAATATAGTAATCGAGTACAACAAACTCAGGGGAATACAATACCTCCAAAAGTTTAAAAGCAATTAATTGTCACATACCTCTACTTTTACGTATTTCCTAAACTATTCCTCTCCTTGTAAATCTGCTTAATGCTATTAGTCTGCGTTTTCTTTTAAAAGTTCAAGACTAAATAAGAAGATTTATTCTACAACTTTAAAGGTTAGTTGCCTCCCTAAGCGGACCCCCCGCATCCTTATTCTTTTGTTAATCTACTTAATGTCATTAGACATTATTTAAGTTCATTTGATGATTATGATATCTTATTAGTCTAATTTGATAAATTATTAAAAGCTCTAATTCACCTAATCAAGCATAACCCATGCTTTATTAAGTACCTGCACTTGTGCTTGTAATCTAAAATTAAACGTGTTTCAAGTACTTTTGATTTTGACCTATACCTATTTATTATATCTTAGTTCGACCCAGGTAACACCTTCATGTGACTAAAATGCTTCATTTTGAAGTTAGTTTCCTAGCTGATATTTAAATAAATAGGGTATATGCTCCAATTACGCTCTCACGTTTCCACTATGTCGCACCACAAAAATACATATGGGTATGTCACAATAGAAGCACACCACAGTGGAAATCCCGAACCATAGTTCAAACACTTATCCCAAATCAAAATGAAGCACATATGTATAAGATTAGTTACAATACCATGTACAAAAATGATGTTTAACATTGTTTCCTGAGTAATACTTCAATGAAAACAACAATGAAAGCTTGTCACGCAAATAGAAAGAGCACCGTTGGGCACTTTCTGAAATATTTCAATAGTATAATTCCCTTGCAAACCCAAATAAATCTATCTCCGTAAAAATAAATAAAATAAGAGTGATTTGCGGCAAAACCCGCCAGTATCACACCCAACGTCAGTGCCTATACGTAAGCGTACTACGATGCGGCTCTCAATTAAAGGAGTAACAGGTGTGATACTATCACTGCTAGACTAGATCTTTGGTTCTCTCATGCAGTGGTTTATCAGAGAGGGGAAGCCTAGTAATCTCCATTGCCTGCCCATGACGCCATTCTATCGCGGCATGAGCCAGCAACGCTGGCCATAAACCTACCGTCTCCAACACTCCACTATAAAGCATGAAATTAAGCCCGCCCACCAACAGCAAGGTGCAAAAACTAGCCAAGGGGAGGGCTCTTCATCAACTTTCTCTTTGAAATAAATACTACAAATTTGATACGCTTACAAATAAAAAACGGAAAGAGTTAAGATAATTGATGATTGATCAAATAAAAGAACTAAATGTTCAAATTTGTTCCGTCCACTAGCGGTCCTACGTCAAGCTTCCGTTCGTGCCCCTAGGCACAGACACTTCTACTTTTTTTTTTTTAAAATATTCGGGTTAACGGGCTACCGGGCTTGTTTTATGACATATAGAATGGCTTCCGAATGTTGATTTCATTTTATTGTTGAAAAAAAAAACATAAGATTTTCCTGAACTGTCTCGTATGTAAATATGAATTATATACATCCGATTTATAATCACAAATAACCTATCTATTTTACACACCCTAAAAATCTAAACTAATACTAGATTTTATTTCTTGATTAATTTCAGATTTTTCAATGCCATAACAGATCGAATGATAACACAATTATAAGCAGAAAAAAAAACACAATAATCATCAGCTGACCAATGTCATCACCCTTGTAACGGAATAAAAACAAAACAAACTTACCTATTTTGTTGTCATCAGTGGGGTAAAGCAAAATCGAGAAATTCGCCTTAGTATCGAAAATCGCTTACAGCCGAAACAGAAGTCACGTCACATGATTGTGAAACGCTTGTCGCTGTGAAAAATAAGTAAACAAGCACAAATCATCAAAACAAGATACAGTCGATGTCAACGTAGTGGTTTTGGATAGCAGCACCATTCGAGTAAGCTCACGGATTTGGTCGGATATAGTGCAACAGGCAGCAGCGGTCAGCAGCTGGGCCACGGAGACGAATGCACATATCGTTGTTCAATCTACTGTTCGAAGTAAACAGCCAAACAATTATCACTATCCTAGGTCTAAGCTAACAGATACTTAAGTCCAATACTAACGAGTTCTAGCAAGTAATCGACCGAGAAGCGACCATAGCACGGGTTCGTGCTTCTTTCCCATTACTAACGACACTAACAGTATCCTACAACGGCTCTGGTCAGGGGCCGTGCATTTCAATATCCATCTAGTTCTAACAACCACTTTCGGCCTGGACTCGATTCGAGAAAACGGTCCAACCCAGGTAGAAAATATGGTTTCCACTTTCCTAAGTTGATTGCTTAATTTGGTCAACCACGTTTCGCATTTTTGCACACTATTACAACATTACCTTTCAACTGTCCAAATTTATGCATTTCTCGCCGCATTAATCGGAGGCAATAGTGATTCAATAGGATTTCGTTTCTTTTTATTTCTCCTCTATTGTTCGTAAAATCGAAAATGGCTAATTGCAAATCTGAATGCTGATTCGAAAAACAACAGGAAGCGGCCAACGAAGGGCACGCAAACGGGCAATCATCGTCGTCATCATCGTCAGGAAGTGGCAATATGGTGAAAACGTTCCAAGCCTATCTACCGCCAGCAAACCGAACGTATTCCTGTGTCCACTGCCGGGCACACCTAGCTAGCCACGATGAGCTTATATCGAAATCGTTCCAGGGAAGCCAGGGACGGGCGTATCTGTTCAACTCGGTGTAAGTATCCCGGCTGGGTTGTTTATAATCCTGTTTGCTAATGACACAGTTTTTACCAACCGTGTTCTTAATTTTATTTTAGGGTCAACGTTGCTTGTGGCCAGGCCGAGGAACGCGTCCTGCTAACTGGCTTACACGCCGTAGCCGACATTTACTGTGAATGCTGCAAAACGCCTTTAGGATGGAAATATGTAAGCCGCTATAATCTGGAACCTTTGTGAAATTGAATGCTAATCAACCTAATTTCCGCCCGCATTTGCAGGAACACGCTTTCGAATCTAGCCAAAAATACAAAGAAGGGAAGTACATCATAGAACTAGCTCACATGATCAAGGAAAACGGCTGGGATTGATCGCCGAGCCACTCCGAAAAATGCGTAAATTAGATTAGTGAATACTGATAAAAAGCAAAAATTCCGCAACCCCATCATAGCTTGGGAGGAAGCCGGAATGATGCCCTCGGAATGGCAACTATTCCGAAAACGCGCATCTACTTTCCAAGTCATAGTGTGTCCTAGTTCTGAATTCTCTCTCCCCGTCAAACAGGCCAGAGGGTCAACCCAACCAACCGTGCGTAACTGTTTTGTCATTTCCTATCTGCGTTGTCCTATATAATTAGTAGATCTTTCTCTAACGTGTTCATTTCACACACACACACATACACTTCGTATATAATGATCGAAGCATCGAACGGTGTCGTTATCGCCGTGCATTAGATTGGGATTATTTTTAATTGTCAAAAACATTCTGGAGATCCATTCTTACTTTTACCTGCGAGAACCACGTACACAATTAAACAAGAGAAATAAAATTTAGTTTAGAGGTCTTGCTCTTTCGAATCCCTAGTAGCAGAGAAGAAAGGAGGAAACATTTTATTTTCCTAAGATAGTGAGAAGATTAACACTACTGTTATTGAATTAGTGAGGAAAACTACAATTGATAAGTGAGCAAGGAAGCAGATTTTAATGTATGAGAAGAGACGTAGTGAGGAGGCAGGAGTAGTAGAGGAAGATGTGTAGAAGCAGAAGGAAGGTACGCGAGAGAGAAAATGCGAGAGTGATATTAGTTTTACGAATGTTTCAAGTGAGATAACATTTATAATGAATCGTATTTTAGTCGAAATATACACGTCTAAAAATCTAGCTTTAGTTCTACGAAAGGAAGCAAAACTGAAAGGAAGTCGAAGGAGAAGACAAACACTTATGGTTTTATAAATCACAAGTTTAGATAAATGCAATGGAACGAATGCAAGAAAATAACACAGCTATTGTAACGCCTGTCGCCGAGCAGTACTGTTACTTTCAGTTTCAGTTTTTTCTTTTTGGATAGCGAATGTGATCAATACATATATAATATTACAATTATAGTGTATTTTTTTTAATAAAACAAAATATTTTTACTCTATGTATCTGTGTTTCTTTTGGCTCAGGCGAACAAAACAGCAGCCATTCAGTCAAGATTTGAACAACAACAACAGTTGCGCGGAGAAAAAAGGCTCTAAGTGGTTTATCCCAGAACAGAAATGAAGAGAGAAAGGAAGAATTTTACTGCCAACTAAATACACGTAATAGTAACGAGAACAAACTCAATAGAGTAGAAATGAAGAACAAACATAAACCATCAAACTGTATTATCGCAAAAACGAGCGAATCATCCCAGATGGTAAACTAGTGGTTCTAAAACCCACTAGAACCGAGGTCCAGCATTTTTCCGACGATATGGGATGCAATTGAGCCGACCGGCATCTAGAATACTAAACGTAGCAAAACCTAGCAGCACACAGACTCAAATTTAGTCACTCGGTAATCAGTGGAACATGGTCGTGCTATGACCTAACCTAATTACGCTGAGGACCTGCATTCTGTTGTAGGGTTTCTTCTGACTGAATCGGTGTTTAAGCAGGGTCGAGTTGGTTCACGATGGATGCGTTGAATGTGGGGTGTGGGTTAAGGTTAATATCAGATATGCGAGATGCTGTTGATTTTTGTACAAATTGGCAAGAGAGGCAGCTCAGCACTATGTATTGTACTGGAGGACAATTTTCCCTCTTATGCTTAAGTTTCGAAAATACAGTACTTGTTCTCTAACTGGGCGTTTTTAACTGGCTGCTTTTTAACTGGGTGTTCGATAACTGGGCTGTAGCCCAGTTAAAAAGCAGTTATACGTGAACAATAGACGTCACATATTGTTTGACATTTCGTTGTCATAATTGGTGAGGGGCATTCGAATGGAAATTTAAGTTTTAATACAAATAAATTTGAAAATACTATCACACTGAAATTTAGACTTAAAAGCGTTTTAGCGAAAGCGTTAAGCCTTTTTAAATTTGCAAATATGAATGCTGTGAAAATAGAAATAACAAACTTTATACTGTTTCAATTCAATGCACGTGAAATTTTTTTAACGTCGACCAAACAATCCATTTAAGTTTTCCTCATTGACAGTGATTTTAATCCATCAGCTAGCAAACAAGTACTGTACTTGAAAATCAGTCAAAGTCATGATTTTTTTTTCCAAAATGTTAGATTCGCTTATGGCGATAAGCTCCAACTTGGATTAACATGTAACACTGATCCTGATTGGAGGATCTGCCAAATGTTTGTTTGAGATCATAGTGATTAATACCAACATCGACATCAAAGTAGCCCGATATTCGTGATTGGCATTTTATCCGAAGATAATACTGGTTGGAGCTTACCAGTTTCTAACGTAAATGATGGCTTCGGTCAGAGGTCAAATTTATTCGTTGAGCGCTCGTTTTTTACATGAGAACACATAACTATTCAGAGCGTCGTTTGATCAAAATTAAGCACTACAAGACTTAACCCTGACAATAATAGGGGTAAAGGTATTGTCGAAGCCGTCATTCGCCATAAAAAAATTATGGAAATTAGTCATGTAGGGGAAATGGAAATGGATATCGGCCTAAATGCCCCTAATTTGGGCCCATACAAAAATTCAACAATTGGTTAAATTTTCAATAGCAACCAAAAATTTACATTAGTACCGTCCAAATGACGCGTTCATCTAGATAAAATTTATAAATAGCAGATTTTTAGCGATTGGCCCAATCTTAGATCCATAGGCCAACATTAGAGCCGTTTCCCCTATCACTGCATTTATATACTGTAATGTGGCCTTTGGACTTTTTTTTTTAGAAAACCATCTTGTGAAGGTATTTATTTAACGATAACATTTAAGGGTAGACGGGGCTCGATCTCCACCCAGCTCAATTGATTCTAAATTATGTCCTGATCATTCTCTCAACATTGGTTCTAATTTGATTAACGTTTTGTTCTAATCGTCCTAGCCGTTCGCCATAATGTTTAACGGGTAAGCTTGTACAGATAGTTTACCCGTTAAAGATTGTAGCGATTTTTGTTATGAAATTATTAAATATTTTGTTGAACATTTGTTCCAAACTTTTCACAGTCAAACTAACGGTGACCAGCAAATAACGATCAGCAATTTCCCAGTTTTGTTCCTATTTTTCCCGGAATTTTGGAATTTTTCCCGATTGTGCGATATACATGAATGAGATTAAAAAAAAAGTCATTACTAAAAAAAATGTAAAATTTTTGTCTATGTTTTAACTAGCTTGAAAATTCGCTCTTCAGAACTCTTTGCATGATTTTTTTTGGAAAGTTCTCAAGTCTTTCCTTTAGAATTAGTTTCATTCACAGATAGAGTTATTTTGAAAATTCCTCTAAAATAATCATGATCAAACTACATGCTCAAGCTTCTCTCTGGTAGTCACTTGAAAATGTCTCCATAACAATCCAGAAATTTCCTGCAGAACGCAACGAAATATTTCATTGAATTAGGTCATTACTTAGAAATCTTGAGCATGTAGTTTGATCAAACTTATTTTAGAGGAATTTTGAAAAGAACTCTGTGAAGCAAGTATTTCAAAGGGAAATACTAGAGAACATTCCAAAAATCATGCAGAAAGTTCTGAAGCGCAGATTTTTAAGCTAATTAAAACATAGACACTTTTGCACAATTTATTTTGGTAATCACCTAAGATTATCTTTAATTTTTTAATGATTCTTCCAAGAATTTACTGAAGCTTTCTTCCATATAGGTTTATTTTTAAAATTCGACTGGATTGTCCTGAGAATGCCCATGCAATTCAATTGTCTTGAAATTCTGCTCAAAATTATCTCTTCTCGTGATGCTCTTGGAACTATCCTCGGAATTATCATGGATCTCTTCTTAGAATTCCTTTGAGATGGTACAGTCAAACTTCGATACCCTTTGTATTTTTCGCGGAAACCTCTTTACAATCGTAATGGAATTTCCCACAGAACTACCTAAACATATTTTCTTTACACAAGTGACATGGAATTCCAATCAAAACTCTTCAAGTGTTCAAGAGAGGAAATACGTTGTTGTTATCCTTAGAGCTCATTCTAAAATCTCCTCCAAATTCCTTTGGAATTTTCTACAAAATTCTCTTAACAGTTCTTCAAATTGGCTGTATCCTGAAAATCTACTCCAGTCCAAGGGTCTTGACTTTTTTGTAGGTCTAGATAGTTATTCTTCAAAAGAGAACACGATGTATATTTTTTCCCGATATGTCATCAACATTCACGGGGTATTCCCGATTTCCCTGTTAAATTGTATCTACAGTAATCCCTTCATTTATGCGGTAGGTGGTACCGTTCCTTCAACCAATTTCGCTGATTTTTTGTATGTGATCACCCGAGCATAGTCGGTTAACAAAATGAAAAGCGGTGCCGGTGGTGTAGTGGTAAACGTAATTACCTCTCACCCCAGCAGGCCTGGGTTCAATCCCAGTCGGCGCCGCCGGGATGTTCTGAGGCATAACATCTCTGATCACGCCTTCCTACGGAAGGGAAGTAAAGCCGTTTGTGGCCAGTTAAAGAATTGATGGGTTGATAGGCAGGGTCCAGGTGTGGGAGCTGCCTCCCTGGCATTGGTAGCATTGGTGCTCAGCATGGAAAACAAGATCGACGGAAAACAAATCATAGAAAAAAAAAAAAACAAAATGAAAGCAAATCGTGAGAAGCATGAATTTTACGCCAGGCCCGTATTCAGTTAAATATTATGAATGCAAAATCAGTAATCAAACAGATGTCATTGATTGCAGGATTAGTTTTCCGTTTGATTCAACAGTGTAAAATGGTGCTCTGATTTTTGCTGTGTTAACCGTTAAGTCAACCAAAATGAGATCAACCGGAGTGTGCAAAATAAGTTACATCATAACAGCAAATTTTGATTTCAGTTTGATCTCCAGTTTTGCTCGGGTAGTGCCAACCATAAATTATCTTCAGAAAATCAGCTCATTTGGTTGAAGGACAGCCGAGAAATAGCGGTGTGTGGGTGGTACTGTATCTGGGTAGTACTTACTGTACCAGGAAGGCAGCTTTAAAATCATGTTTAGACTTTGTTCTGAACCATTTAATGTGCTTTTTCGCTGGTACTTTTCAGTAGATCATTTAGAACTTTATTTGCCAACGAATGCATGAATTCGTATACTGTGTGGCAACTGTGCTGCAAAATATCTACCACACACGAAGATATTGACAAAACAGTCATGCCAATTATCAGTGCAGTTTTTGTTATATTTTAAATTTTATAGAAGTTTTGGGAACATCTGAGTAGTTTGAGGATATTTTATAGAAGTTCGGAGAACTTCATAAAAATACAAAGAACTTCTCAAAAAATCGTCGAACTTCATAGATTACAGTAAACTGTGTGGAATTTGTATTTAAAAAAAAATCAAAAGTATCATTGAAGTTCAGATAATTTCAAACAAGTGAGAGGTATTTCATAAAAGATTGGGGAACATCATAGAAACTCTTTTAATTTCATAGTATATTATAGAAATTCATGGGAGTTCATGGATCTTCAAAGAATTTCATGAAAGCGTTTGCGTCTTTTTCATAAAAAAGATATTCTCACATATGATACCAGGCTGTCAAATGATCTTCAGGTGTTCTAGGATCTCCATTAAGTCATTTTTTTTTTCAAAAATTCAGGTTAATCAGGTAGGGGAAATGTTGGCTTCGTCAATACCTTAACCTATTATCTTCAGGGGGGTAAACAAAATCCTAAAGCATTCAAATTTGGCTAATAGATGCTCTAAAACAAAATGTATCCACATGCCAAAATTGGGCTCCCAAGGACGTTGCTTACCCCCTGACGATAATAGGTTAAGGTATTGCCCAAGCCAACTTTCCCCTATCATTCTGAAAATATCCATCTATCCAAAAATCTAAATCGCATCTCTCAGATATTCTCTCATATGATACCAGACAGCTCACAAACGAGTCCATGTGTTTTAAGATGTCTATAAAGTTCTCTGGGTACTTTTTCAAGACTTCAGGTTGATCAGGTACTATTCTGATGAAGATCTCAAACTATCCATCAATTCAAAT